AGATGAAGCACCAACTGCAACGTACCACTGTTTCAGTAATTCCTCTAAGTGATATTTAATACTGGTTTAATTAATTAAATAAATGTGTGTGGACCTAGATGTGAAAACAGGTGGATGGATTGACCACAGGAAAACAGCTTATCAGCGTTGTCCCAAACATTTAACCATTATAAAACACAGAACTTCCAAGCTACCACAGCCAGCAGTGGAGATCATTGTGGCCACACAAGGAAGGCAAAGAGGATATAAAGCCACTTGACAGCTCACAGTCAAACAAAAAATAAAGCGGTTGCTTTAGACACTAATTCAGAAGTTTATCCATAAGTCAGCCTCGTGTGCAAAGTCTTTACCTCTGACTCAGCATCGGCCTGCGGTGGCACACTGCGGGGGGTGTCGTAAATGCTGTCATCTTCTCCAAGTGCAGAGGGGACTGGATGCTGCCACCTGCCCTTCGGAGGTGTATCATATACCTACCAAGGCAACATTAGATTTTAAAAAAAGAAAAATCGTAAAAAAATATTTAATTTAACACTAATAAATATGATGGAGACTTTAAAAGTTTATTGCCAAACAAGTACCATCCAGGAGTAATAAAAGGATTCATGTACATGGTGAAGGGCTTTTCCTGGCTCAAAATAGACCTCTTTAAAGTTTTGGTGCGGGGCGTTGACAACGGACATGAGAACAATCAGTCCACATATAGTTAGGGAACAGTCTTTGTTACCTTAGTTAACAGAAGTTTATGCAGTTTCCTGATATTTGAAAAAAAAAACGGTGGAAAATAAACCAAGCCTAAAAAAAAATACTGACTTAAAGTTATTTTGTAACACTTCTGGTGATTTTTCCACTTCTTTCACAAACATCTTCTGTATGCAGAGAAAAAAAAAACCGCATAAGATCACAACATAGAGAAAAAAAAAAAAACAACACAACAACACAAAACCTGTAAAACACCACTAAAAATGCCTCCTCCCCCACCCCCTAGATGAAACCCAGCAGGGTTTCCAAAGAACGAAACAAAAAACAAGCATTTAACAAAAACGAAACATTTTTTTTATCTGATATGATTCACATTTCTTTTTATCAAATGGTCAAAACTGAACAGGAAATGCAGATTTTTTTCTGTCCATCAAGGAAACAGGCTCACTGCCCTCACAGCATGCAGAGCTGCTGAGCCAGGATTAAACCCTGTTATTAACAGGTAATAACTTTATTCTTACTTTATGAATACTGAAGAATAAGATAGAACAACTTTTTATCGCTTTAAGTATAATCGTTACATACCTGATCATCAACAGGATCTGAATAATCCTGATTCTCTCCCTTTTGATTCTGCACACTGCTGCTTTTCTCCACGCCATTACTCGTCCTTTCCTCCTTTCCCTGGGGGGCTGCCCTCTGTTTGCCCTCTTCTTGCTGCAGGCTTGCAGAAGTTGCTTGAGCAGCAGATTTGGGGACAGAGTTAGAGTCAGCTGACAGCGGCGATGGTTGTGTGTCCTTCCTGGTGACGCTCCTTACTGGAGGTGCTGGTGGAGGTGGTTTGCGGGCGAAATTTGGCGATCCAGGAGCCCTGACCTGGCCAGCTCTGATAAGCAATGGGGATCCCCGGTGAGAGGCAAGGCCAGGCTTGCCTCTGGCAGCGGCAGGGGTGGGCGAAGCTCCCTTGAGCAGGGCTCGAGGAGACACTTGGACAGAGGTTATCTGAGGCGGGTAGTGGTGAGCCAGAATTGTCGCTGGTGTCCTCGGAAGGCTCACTCCCGCAGAAGTGGGTGTTTGGTACATCCCAGGTGTGTCCTGGTTCGCTTTTGATTGGGGGGTAGCTGTAGTTCCATTGGTTATCAATGGTCCATTAGAGCAAAAAGCACTGGCCACAGAGCCTCCGGTTGGGGATTGGTAAACATCATCGCCTGCAAGAGGCGTGCCTTTGGGCACCAAGTAACAGTCATCCGAGGCCCCCGTGGTTAGTGTTTCTCTGGGAACAAGATATGTAGCGTCCTCTGCTTCATCAGCCGTCCTCGGCACTCCACTGGGGGCAAGATACACAGACTCTGAAGCCAGGTGAGCTCCTGGCTGCCTCGCATGCTGAGCTGCTGCAGGCGAGGGACTCACCGGGCTCTGATAAACCGCTCCTGTTATGTCTGTTCCTCGTCCCCTCAAAGAGGGTGAGCGTGGACGCCCCACCACTCCGATATCCCAGTCAGGTCTGGGCCGGGTGCCAGAGCTAGAGTGCGAGCGTGGCCGCCCGCCCTCAGTTCTGCGTAGCTCCCCTGGTCTCGACCCCGCTCCTCGTCCCTCGCCCACCGCTGGCGGGGAGCGATAAACTCCGTCCACATCATTCACAGTCCGAGCCAGTGGGGCACCAGGCGACAGGTAGACCGAGTCTTCACTGGAGCCGCGACAGGGGTCCGAGCCAGGGGGCGGGGCGGTCTGAAGGAGTCGAAGGCGATTAGCGGGGGCGATCCCCTGTCTGCCATGCAGCGAGCAGAGCCACCACCCGGGCCCGCCGCTCTGCTCCTGTTCAAGAACCATGAGGATGTCGCCCTTTCGGAAAGCCAACTCTTCTGGGCTTTCTGCCGTGTTGTCAAACAACGCCTTTGCCAATACCGTCTGTGCAGGAGGAAGAGACGAGAGCAGCAGTGATCAGCACTGACCCACAAAAACACACACACACACACAAAAACAACAACTAAAATGGCCATATGAAAGCACAAATTAATCAACAGCCTGAATTCACACTCCCTGCACGCCACAAACAAACAAGTACATTGACGTGGCAGTGCCAAGTGAGGAGTATAAAAAGGGTGATTGTTTCGATGCTGAATGGAGAGTGAAAGGGAGTGAATAGGGAAGATCTCGTTAAATGTCTGTGTGAAAGACCTGGTTGGGGGGGGATTAGCAAACGAAAACAAAACAAAACAAAAAAAGAAAAAGATGGAAAATTTAAAAGCCAAATCAAAATTCACAGCTGTGCAATTCATCCTGAGGAAGGGAGAAAGAGGGCCACAGTCAGGGAGGATCAATGATCAAATGGACACAAGAGCTTAATGGTAATGAGCGGGATGAGAGGGAAGGGGGAGGGGATGAGAGGCACATCTGTCCCTTGCTGTTTAGGGTTTAATTGCCAACCCAAAGCCAGAGAGTCAGGCCCCCTTTCATTCTCTAAACCAACCCCCCGGGGACAACCGAGCTCCAATGAGCCATGTGGGACCTCTTTTGCAATGGAGGCACTGAGGATCCCAATATAAGACACAGAGAACACATAAACCAGTTTACAAAAAGAAAGAAAGAAAGCGATGAAAGCATATTATTCCTTGACTTTCAAAGTATCCGAGCTATTGCGACACTGCCACACGAACACATGCAAATCCACGAACACAAAGAGAAAAACTGTACTCACCGAGACAGACATGATTGCCAAGTGATCAGCTTAGTCTCCGAGAAATTATCACTCAAGTGTCCACACCAGTCGGGTCATTTTTGGGAGGTCAGCTGTCACGGATATGCCGATGGGCAGAGACCCTCGGTGCCGAGGCACAGCTGGCTCTGTTTAGGACACATCGCCCGGTCTGGGGGCTCCGTCGTCCCCGGTCTTCATAAGGCTCCTAAAATCCACACGGAAACGCTTTTTTAAATGTTTATTTTCTCACGAGTCACATGTAACAGGTATAGACAGCAAAACTTCACCCGTGCGCTCTGAGTCTCGCGTGAAACTGAAAGGTAGGCGGACGGAGGTAACACCTGTCTATGCCTTCCACGCCCAGTAACGTTTCTTTAAAGGCAACCCTATCGGGGGAAGCCCGCAACAGCTTAGCATCGTTTGCAAAAAAGAAGCGGTGTGCAGTGAGCGTCTAAAATACAGCGTGCAGCTGTGTATGAAACCGCTATCTAGGTCAAACGATAATTCATTTGAACAGTAGCCAGTATAAATAGACGTGCAGCCGCGGCCTAGCCACTAAACACCAGCCAACGCGGGCTAACGCTGCGCTAGCTAGTGCTGGTTTAGTTCAAAACAACAATGGCACCGCCGTATAAAGCGGCCAAAGGCGATTTATTTACCGAACAGCGTTAGCACTCAGGACCGCCGTAATGAAAATTATTACCTTTCTCTTTTCTTATCGCCGATAAACTTCCCATTGGGGTACAGCCTCTGATACGTAAATCCCTTCTTTTCATGCGTGAAAATCTGCGGTCATCGCCGTTCAATCATCTTCGATGACAACAAAATTATCTCCGCCCCTTTCTGAGGTCATGGAGCTTCGCTGATCTACAAGTAACACGAGGGCGTAAATTTCAGCGTTTACACCAATCCCGACGTGTGTAAAATCGCGCAGCTAGCCGCCGCCTCAAAAATAGAGCTCTTCTGATTGGCTCGTTCCTAAAAGTTGCGTTTAAGGACGACTGACTC